TTAGTTTTGATATATAAGTTGTTCGGGTTTTTTCATCTAAACAAAAAGTGATATTTCTTGACAACCTAATATATTATGTTCTATTCTAAGCAGAGAATTGTCAATTTCTCTTTTAGTACAAGCTTTGTTTCCATGGGAAACATATTGACCAGCTTGGATGAATTTGTAACAGCTCTTGTCACATAGTTAGAAAAATTGTGATCGTTATAGGACATTGTCTGTTTTTTGCATGTTATTATTCTATGCGAATAGCAGTTACATACGGTGCATAAGGCAATAAAACAATAAAGTTTAAATGTAGTTTCATGTTACAATTTTAAGTCATTCTAGAAAGAAAAAAAGGGTAACTTACATTTATTTCAATTCCTTTTTTTTTGTTACAAGGTCAGTCAAACTGACCAACCTAGTATAGAGTTAGGGTAGGGAAATTAAGAGATAAATATAAAGTCTTCCTGAAAACAAATGTTTGAAATGTATTTAGGAGGTTTTGGAGATTATGCAAATGAAATTTGAGATTTTTTGGAAGAAGAATAGTATTTTTAATCATAACATGAAAATCATTTAACACTCAGACTATTAACAAAACAGACTTGATATATTCACAGACAATTATTTAGTAAAAATACTTCATTTAAAAAATCTTATTTTTGTACAAAAGACTTGTAATGTTCCTAAAAATTTACCCAATTTTGTGAAGATACATTTACTGTATTAAAGTTTATCGTATAAATACTTAACATGTGGAAATATGTATACGGACTCTGTATTTTATACCAAGCCTATTGCAAAAAGGTTAGTCATTTTGCTATGTTATGTTTAACTTATGTCTATTATCATTAAGATTATTTTTTATAAAGTTATTAGTTGTATTTTCAATGATGGGTTATTGGGAAAACTTGAACCTTGCATCTGTTTTTTTTCATGGTTTACTAAGAAACATCTGGTATCAATGAGATAAGTCTTTTATTCATGCAGGTAGATCAAGTATTTTTTTCTAGTACTTTTTTTTTAAAAATACACAAGGTCTTTTATGATATGTCTAGAATGTCTTCTTTTCTGAAAATCAGGTTTCATGCACAGCTATCCAAGATTGCTGGATTATATCATATGGAGAACAAAATATATACTTTTCTGCTTGGTCAACTGTGTCAAATAAGTATATTTTCATTGCAGTTATTAAAAAAAACTGTCTTTTTATGACTTGTATTATGAATCAGTATTTTTAAAGAAATTTTCATCTTTATCTTTCAGTCTGTGCGTCCCCCATTTTCTTCATTTGTTCTATCCACCACATTCCCAAGAAGACAATTTAAGAAAGAAGATTTCCCAAAACCTCTTCGAGACTTGCAACTTGTTCCCACTGCAGTTGTACTAGTATTACCTGTAAGTTTTATCCATTTTTTTAGCACATAGTTTAGTTTGTAAGTTACAAGAACACATGGATCTCACCATTTATTCAACTCTTCAGTAGCTAGAGACTCTGGGGCAGAGCTACAGAAGCCATAAAGTTTTCTGTTATCATAGCATTATAAACCCAAGCTTTGTTAAGAATGTTGACCAAGATTAACAGGAAGACTAATTTTATTGACTTACTGTTATTAGTAAACTTCCTTTATCAACGTTGTAACATCATACATGAGTAACATGTAAACAGTAATATGCATTCCTACATATAGAAGTCAACTTTTGCTGTGTTGTTTCATTGGGCCTAAAGCATGATATCTGTGCATTGAGTTTGCAGCTTATACTAATTATCTTTCCCTATATCTCTGCAAAGATGTATATGTCTTGTGGTTATGTAATATGTTGTATCAACAACTGCCACATACCTTGAGCTGGATAACTTGGTTTCACAGAAGTTTTGAGATAAATCTTGGGCTACTGTCACATTCACTACTTTCCTTTAGCAGCTATATATCACTATTTAGCCATCATAAACTTGAAAAAATAAATAATGGGATCAACTATACTTTCCATTTGTACAAGAAGTTTCTCTCATCCAAGAAAAATCAAAGCAGTGAATACTAGAGAATCTCCAAGATTTACCTCAAATTATCAATATTAGATGCATATATCAAAATGAGTAAGTCAAATAACTAAAAACAATAGGTATAAAAATCTGGTGCAAGTGATATTTGAGTGCTACTAAAAATCACAAATCACAGGAATTTACCATGAAATCATAAACAACTTGTTTTAGTGACTTGAAAACTATGTAGCAAAAATTGCATCAGTATAACAAACTGCAAGAAAAAGTTCTTCACTGGAATTGAACACTGATGTTGCAGTGAATGGGTTAAAACACATAAGTGCATTATCTGTTTAAGTGAACAACCATTTATTTTCAAATATAATGGATGGTATGTGGGTCTTACAGTTCTGTATATAATTACCTGGACTGGATATTGATTAAAATAGTATGTTTCATATGTTTAGGTAACTCACAAAACTTTGGGTTGGACTGACATATGGAAAGCCTTCTAATTAAAATATTGCAGGGCCAAATTCACCTTAATCTTCCCATTGCTGAAGCATGTAACTGACATAAAAGTACTAACCTGTATATAAGTGTAAACTGAACACTGTATAAAAGATAATTGTAGTACAATAACCTGTTGTGAATGCAAATATATACCTATCACTAACTTCATAAGTTCAGCAATTCACTATTGTAATGCATTTTTATGCTTTGAGGCTATTGTATAATATAAAAAAGACTAGTACACCTAACATAAATTTGATGTTTTAAAGCTAAAAGTCACATTTATACTAGTAAAAGTTAATGTAAATTCCCAGATTTTGATAGTATCTTCATACTTGTGACAGTATGCAACCTGATGATAAGAAGCTAAGGAAAGTATGATTTATGTATATTTTTCATGTACATGTTAAGTAGAACCTATTAAATCTATATGCATGTATACTTGATTCAGTTTTATTACTCGTATACCCTATTTGAATTTATTGCTCATCAGGATCTCTACCAACCTACCCTTAAACCTAATTATATGCCCAAAATAATGCATTGTCCTTTTCATATATATATATCTACTAGTATCATTTTCAGTACAAGAAAGGAATCATTGGGACTCCAGAGATGAGAAACCTATGGAGGAATTAGAGCGATAGGTTTCATAATTTTTTTCTCTACACCTGTTTGGAAAAAATCATTTACTTAGATTAAAATTCATTGAAATATTGAAGTTTTGATTCACTTATATAGTGATTTATGTGGCTTTATAAGTTCAATAGACTTTAGTTTTGTTCAGCTAGTACTGGGAAATAGTTACTGTTAATATTCAGACATTGTAAAGGTGGTTTTTGTGGCTGCCATTTGTTTCATCATGATCCCTGCTATTAAGTAATACTGTACTTAATGATAAAATGTCAGGGAGAATTATTGGTATTGGATGTGACAGGTTGTGTGATAAGTGTATCTGATTTTCTAGTTTATGTCTTGTTAAGCAAATAAGATTGAAGGCTATAAAAATTAGACTTTGCCTTAGTAATATTTATATTATAGTAAGTAATTTACATTAAATTCCATACCTTAAAAAGGGGTGGGGTGGTAAATAATTTAGAGAATGGGGGGGTACCTAGAGAAGAGATGTCATGATTCTTATACAAGGAGAGATTGAGGATTTATTTTAATATTTCCTCATAAAACTAAGAAATTAAAACTTGTATTAGAATTTGATTTATTAACAACATTTTAATGCCAAACTTATTTGTACACATTTATAATAAAGAAGTTTAAATTTAGAACATAACTCTGTAAAAGGTCATGCCACACTCACTTTGACCTACCTGTAGTGAGAGGATTAACATGGGTGTTAAAACAGTTACTAAAAGTCATAAACTGTGCAAAAATTAGATAACCCATTCACATAAGCCTTTCTCATTTTATTTTATTGTGTTTTGATTCTGAAATTTAGGAACAAGCTGTGATACCTTCTGACAGAGGCTCTGGTATTGTGAGCTACTTATGGTTTCTGATCAGCCCAGTCTTGGTGTTGTGGCGCATCATCTCAAATTTTTTGTTTGGAAGTGGTGCTTCTAGTTCTGCAACTCCTTCAACCATTGATGCCCAAACAAATTCTTCACCAAGCTCCAGTCAAGATGCAACGTAAGTTTTCTAAAAGTATTTATTTTGTACTAACATTTAACTAAAAATCATGTTGGTAGTAACCATCTTTATCTCAGTTTCAACCAACAGAATTTGGTCTTCAGCTTTTGTTCAAACTGTAACTTGTTCTAGTTTTTTTAATAACAGTGATTTGCTTACATATTTAATTGAACATAACAGAGACGTTAGTTATTGTTTTACTACATTTTTATTATTCTGGGAATGGTACCTATGTGTGCAATAAATATTCAAACATTTTTACAACTCACTAATAGAATGGATTAAGACAACAAAAAAATACAAGTCTTTATTGCACAAAAGTTAGATAGAATAGTTATTTAAATTTTTATGCAGAGAATCATTTGAATGACATAATAATATTATGGTAATTTTATTCTCTAGGAATTTGAGAAACAGAAAATCTGATAGCTCAAGTTTTACATATCGTGAAGGTAACATATATCGGCTCAACAACCAGCAAAATGACAGTGATGATGATAACAATACGTGGAATGGTAATTCAACTCAGCAAATGTAAAAGAAAAAAATAGTGACATAGAAGCTGTTTTTGGATGTATTTGAAGTTTATGTGTATATGTAATCAATCATACATTAAAGGGACAGTGGTTAAATTAAAGCTAAAAATTTTGGATTTAAGACAGTTGCAAATTCTGAAGGATGGTAGTTTATTAAAAGATTAGTCTTGAATAGCAACACAGACCTATAAATCCATATATATATATATATATATATATATACAAAACAAATAAAAAAAAATGCAGTATTAAGTAAGAGTATAAGTTTCAACAAAGCTAGGAAAAACTTTATTCAATAATTGCCTTTGTAAAAACTAGTAAAGGATATTTTTTTCCAGTATAACAGTGAGTGAGCTTCTAACCTTCTTTTGTTAACAGTAGTAATAAATCTAACTGTTGTAACGCTGTTTAATTAAATCTTTGGTATTAAAACAAAACAGTAGTTTTGTTTGTAAGTTACAAAAAACACATGGGTGTCACCATTTATTCAACTTTTCAGTAAATGTTTAACTAAATAGTATCCTGATTATCACCTTAAAGTTTGCATTTGACTTGTAGGTAAAGAATAAATTTTTGTGCTCTGATTTAGCAGCTTAGATATGTTAGATAAAATATGTGCAACTAATCCCAGAAAAATGACTTTTATTTTAAGTGAATGTCAAACGTATTTTAGGCTTTACTATAATATAATCATGCTTTCCTAATGACGTTAATATAATGAAACTTTCAGAAAATAAATAATTTACAAACCTTTTTTACTGGAGATAATTCATAATTTACCTTTACAGTGTGTACAACCTATTGGCGTGCACTCAGTACTTTGGGGTTCTGGATACATTGTAAAATGATGGTCAGATCCTATGATTCAGTCTGACGAGAGTTGTCAGTGGGTAGTGTTGACTAGCTGTTTTCCCTCTAATCTATAACTTTGAAACTAATGATGGCTAGAGCAGATAGTCTTAGCTTTGCACAAAATTCAACAAACATTCACTGAAATCTAAGATAGAACAAATTTTTAAGTAAATTGTATTTTTAATTACTTAGTTTGGCATCTTTGATTTCCACAGTTCTATATAAATATTTTGTTGAAACAACTGTCATGTTTTATTCCTCCTCCTTCCTTGTTTTATTGCTATTGAATTTACTGGCTATAAAATAGCATCTGTATCATGCTATGAACCTTGTTAAAATTAATTTATAAATATAAAATTCTGAATTGTTAGTCTACTTTTATCAAATGTTTACTTCAAATACTGATGATTAGATAACTTTCACTTTTTTTAAAAAAATTGTTAGTTGTTGCATCAGTAATTGAGCTAACTTGTAAAATTGAAGTCAACAAAGCAGGAAATTTTGTTATATCTTTAAATGTTAGTGAAAAATAATCTTTACCTGTTTCCTTATATTTTGATCCTTTTAAGATACAGACCACCAATAAACACTAGTAGTCATTTTGGTGTCTAAAAAAGCATTGATTGTACTTTTAGTGTAGGACAGGTTTTCTACTTCCTTTAAAAATTCAAGAGTATAAATTTTACCATAATGCATTTAATGTTATATTGAGAAATATTTTTATTTATTTAAAATCCCATAGGATTTATTAATTTCAGAAATATTCAGTATGCTCCAATTTTCTGGTACAATTTATAACTCTGCAAATATAATACAAATACTTGCAATGTCAAAGTGTTTTCTTCCTATTTCCCTGTTGTGACACATCACTAAGCACCCGTGCATGCAAATTCATTTGCATAAGTGAATCACTGCAAGCATGTTGGTAAATATATATAATGTAAGGAAAGATTATGTAATTGTAGTTAGCTTTATTACAAGTTGTTACTATATTCAAGAATGCTACTCATTCACATCAAAAGTTTTGCTGAGATTATGAACACTGTTTTAGGTGTGTATGGAGAAATAAGAAAAAATCAAAAACACTGCCCGAGATATGATAATAGAGAAAATATTTATTGTTCTGTGTGAATAAAAAGCCCCAATGGTAGAAAGTGGTAATTTTCTCATCTGACAGCTCACTTGAAATATTAACCACCACCAGAAAAACACTGCATGTTTTTTCCTGAGTGCAAAGTAGGAAGACCATGTTCAGCCTTTTTTAATGTAATGTGTGAAGTCTCTTCACAGATTTACAGGATTGTATTTATGTAGCAGGATGAGTGCCTGTCTTAATCACAAGTAGTGACTGCCTTGGGCCTTGCACTTCTGTGCTACAGGAAATATGAAAAATTGAAATGTGTTAATTATTATCTTTCCCAAAAGTACAATAAAATATTTGATTATATATATAAAACAACCATTAGGCTCATAATTTGAGAGGGCCAGGCATAGCATAATGTTTAGAATGTTGAACTGAGGTAACAACCTGTTGGTGCAAAAAAAAGAATTTTACTTTGTACTTTAAGGCCATGGGTTTGTTATAAAAGTGACAGTCAAATTCCACTATTAAGTTATAGTAGCTCTGTGTTGGTGGCTGTTGATCAGCTGCCTTCCTGCTAGTCTAACAGTTCATAATTAAAACTAGACCTGATTTGAGCTTCAATTTTGGCAACTTCTTAGAAGCAGATGAGCCCCTACAGACTGTCAGTAGTGCACAACCTATTGAAAGAGTATATATAATCTGGTAACTCAACTGCTTTTGAATGTAGGAACTGTTCAGCAAGTAAAGGAAATTTGTGTAGAATAGAATGTATGATGCAACTATAAACTACATGATAATAAAACAATTAACATGATAATTGTATTTCACATATTGGTACTCAAGAGTAGCCAGTGATGTTTATAAAAAACAAACAGGGAAAATGGTCATGAGGTAAAAATATTTTGATGGAAAATACTGACAAATCAAGATAATATGGAGTAAAAAATGCTGTGATGAAAATATTTACAAATGAATAGAAGTTGGTTATGGGTTGTATTAGAAAAACTTTAGGGAATGAATAGAATCCTAAACACAGAAGTTAGTTATTGAGTGAAAATGCTCTGATAGAGCAAATTGGCAAGTTAAATAGAATCCTGATCAGTTGGTTACAGTCCAGAAACATATTAATCTGTCTAGCTAATATTTATAAATTTTTTTGTAATCAAATTCAAAATGATTTAACTATACTATGCCATTAAAGTTGACCAAATGAAGAAAGTTAACATTTACTTCTCAATTACTGAAAAACAAACTTATCCCAAGAATAACACAATTGGGATTTACTCTGTGATAATTGTAAACTTATTCTTGGTCTTGAACTTCACAATTCAGTGTGGTTTACCAGTGTTGTTACCAGACTAAAGTGAGCCCTTATTTCTTATATGTAAGAAATATATCAATTTGTGAGGTTTTATTCAAGGTACACTAAAAATTTTATTACAGACCTAATTGAGAATTTCTTTATGAAAGCCAAAGTTATAATACTGATTATTTTTTAATTTACTTTCCATAATCAGTGGTAGAATATGAGAAATGCACATGGGTACATGAAGAGTATTAATGATGAGGAAAAATGGCTGATGAAACTTGTATTACATGGTCTGCAATGAGCAAGATGTCTCATATTTGTAATATTTGGCTGTATACTTCAGATGCTCAACAAAAAATTAATAAGGTCACAACTTCTTGTAATCACCTTCAAAGTTAGCACTCATGATACCATGACAGTAATACTTAAACAACAGAGGGAAGCTATATTCATATATACATACACCAATAGCCAGGTCAAACTGAAACAAAGTAAAGTTACAACTCAACATAAACTGAAATGACTTTGTTAAATAAAACAGAATCAAAATGAAAAAAAACGAAAAATTTTCCTGTAACTATTACAAGTACTAAATCTCAAAAGAAATGAAACAGAACCTAGTACAGAACTAAATACACTGCAAAACAAATATAATTGAATGCAAACTTACTTATAGTTCAGAAACTAGCTAATGAAGTTGGCTCTTGGATGGAGAGAGAATCTGTCAACATTTCCATGCTGATAACCTGGGCAGTGCACAACAAAGTTGTACTCTTGCAGTATTGTTACAAAATATGCAATCACACCTCCTTGATTTTTAAAATTCATCAGCCATGTCAGTGGTGCATTGTCTATTCAAATGATGGATTTCCTAACATAAATGTAGTGCCAGTATTGTTTGAGAAATACTCCAAATTCAAAGAGTTCCTTTTTTTTCACACAGTATTAGTATTCATGAGCAGTATGCAATTACATTACATACTCCACACCATCCTGTACCTATGGCAAAACCGTTTTAATTCCACCATCACTTGCATCAATATCTGGGAGGAATGAATACCCCTGATAAGAATAAACCAGAAAAGGTACCTTGACCAAAGTATGCGTTAAAGACTGTGATTCATCTACATATTCTTGCTTCCACACAAATTGCATACAAGTCTTAGTTAATGCAGACAGTGGTGTAGCTATTTATGAGAAGATGGCCACAATCCATTGATAATACGTTGCAAAATATGGGAAGCTGCAAACTTTTATTTGTTTTCAGACTGAGACCAATCATTAACCACTGAAATCTTTGCAGGATAATCTGATAGTCCATTCCTCTCTGTTATCTGTCCAAGAAAATTCACTTCCTTGTATATGAGTACAGATATTTCCTGGTGTCGATTCCATGCTTGTATCTTTGATAAGTTAGAATATCATTCTCAGCTGTGGTCTGAAAGGTGCAACAAAAGACTAATATGTCATCCTTGTATATTATATATTTCTCTCAGTGCAGTTGTCGAAATGTAAGTGTTCTCAACTTTTTGAAAGTGAGAGGTGCATTACATAGATCAAATGGCAAGATGATGTATTTACACATTCCTCCCCTACTTAGGTTTACTTTCATCATCCAGTTCAACTTCCTGTTGTATGTTAAACAAACATGTGTGTTTCAATATACCCAGGCATTAATTTTGTAAGTAGTAGTAAAAAAACATCAGTGCATGTTCACTGACCTAAAATACACAAAATCTTAGTACACCTTCCTTCTTTCTGAAAATCACTATTAGAGATTACCTAGCTCTCCAAAAAATGTATTATTGTATCCTACTTCAACATCAACTAGATTTTAGTGGTTGCCCAATTGCTCAGTTTTATTAGATGCATGTCACCCATATCTATGTGATGTTGTGTTATCACTACTTCCTTCTCATCATATACGCATGCAACCCACTATTCGGTGACCTAACCTGGTCAGCACTAGATAGTTTAGCTGAAGAATTCTGGTTCTCCTATTCTACAAGAAAAACAGGCTGTCAATTTTCACAATATATATATATATATATATATATATATATACGTACCAACCTAATACTACAATCGCTACGAACCTAAGTACTAGACATACTACTTTTACTACTAAGTAGAGACAACTAAGTAGGTACTAAGTATAG